AATTGTTCCCTGACCTTTGCCCACAGGCAGCATTATTTTATTCTACTTGTAGTTTGAAAGACCTGGTTTTGTTTAATGATCTGCAGCCATCATAGACGAAAATGTCCCATGCTTTCAGCGGTCCATCTTGTCAATATATCCAGCTCACAAAATTACAGAATTATCTGACTCATTGGGACAAAAAACAACGTATTATCCTCTAGACAGAAAATTGAAAAATCCCCCGCAATTTTCCCGTCTCTGAGAAAGATAATTGATCTGCTTTTTGTCGTCAGTGTTGCCGTCATTCACTCTATCACCCAGAACTGAAGACTCACAATTATTTTCTATTCTCCCTACCTTTCCTCGCCCACACAGAGTCACCAAGTCAGAGGGCATTCCTTTAACAATGCGTCTTATCATCAGTCTCCTCTGCTACCATGCAAGTCCAAGTCTCCATTATCTCCCAAACCTGGATGACTACAATGGTCCTTCTTCCTTGTTAATGATTTGTACATGGTTTCTTTCATTGTAAAAGTAATGCATGCTTATTATAGGCAATTTGGAAATTTCAGGGAGATAGACAGAATATCAGCTACCCATAATTCCTCTGACCCAGTTCCTTCTACTCATTGTTCTATGTGTATCTAATAGTTCTCTAAAAATTGGGATTGTGATTTACTAGATATTTATAATCTGTTTTGTACTCTTATAAGTGGGGTTTTCTTTCTTCTTCTTTTTGAGATACTATTCTTTGAAACCTAACTTTTTAAAAAAATCAATTCAAGATGTTATTCTCTAAGTGCCGTAGATAGAAAGCCTGACAGCAGCAGCCTTCCTTTATAAGTAAACTATTATTCGCTCTGAAAGCTGTTAACTTTTACCGTCCTTAGATGTGAGACACCCCCAGTTCACTTTAGATGCTTTAGCAAATTTTTCTGACACTTGGACAGTCATATATGAGATTCAGACAGTTTCATCTGCTCATGGAAAATTCTATTACTTCATTAATTTTGCTTCTCATTTATCTGTTGATTTTTAATAAGTCATTATTCATATGTTGACTCAATTTATCTACTAATTGTCTTACAATTTTCCTCATAGCATATTTTTGTTCTAGAAAATAAAATCAATTCTTAATTGTTGGTAACTCACTGTTTTCTAGTTTTCATATTAGAACAAAATAAGACACGGGTCAGTCTTGTGCCATTGTTTGGTTATTTCCCGAATGTTTATTTCCAAGAGCATGATTTTCATGATCAAAGATGTTTATTATATTGTTATCAAGAAAGGACATAGGTTAAATACCCCTGATCCAAAAAAAAAAAACAAACCCAAGTTCTGAAATGAGCCAAAATCTGAGGCTGTTTGCACAGTGATAAGGTGCTTTAAAATTTCAGAATTTTGTCTGGGTGTGGTATTATATGCCTTTAATCCTAACACTAAGGAGATAGGGCAGATGAATCTATGAGTTCAAGAGTAGCCTGGTCTACCTAGTGAGTTCCAGGCTAGTCAAGGCACATACTGAGACCCGACCCTGTCAAAGAAAAAAAAAAGAGTTCTGAAGTTTGGATTTCCAATTTTCAGGTCAAACAGTAAAATCTATGTAATACTCTAAAGTCTGAAAAAATACTTTTGTTCTCAAGCATTTTAGATAAGGGACACTCAACCTGTATTGAGGGCCACCAGCACTGCATGACAGGGGCACTTTCTTAGCTACTTGTTAAGAACTAGTTATTGTTTCTTTTAAGAACTGCATTAGGTAGGCAGTTTATACCTTGTTAGTTACTTTCCTATTGCTGCAAAGAGACACCATGACCAAGGCAACTTACAGAAGAAAGTTTCGAGGAGGCTTACAGTTCCAGAGGATTAGAGTCATTTCCCATCATGTGGGGGAGCACAGCAGCAGACAGGTAGGCAGGCGTGGCACGAGAGCAGTAGCTAAGAGCTCATATCTCATCCACAAACATAAGGCAGAGAGTTAACAGAGCCTGGTGTGGGCTTAGAAAACCCAATACACCCCCCCCCAATAAGGCCATACCTCATAACACTTCCCAAACAGTTCCACCCTCTGGGGGCTGACTACTTATACATTTGAGCCTATAGGGCCCATTTTCATTCAAACTACCACATGGCTCATCAATGCTTGGTTGGCACATGCATTTGGCCTTTGCCCACAGACACTGGGCATTTGTATTGCGGCATTTTAGGTAGTCTCCATCCTGCTGAAAAGAGAAGCAAACTCAAACGCCTTTCCGTGGCTTGGCCTTGAGGCCAATGTGTGACAGCATGGTAGAACTGGAAATGGCAGAGCGCAGGGGAATGGGAGAATGCACACTCTGCTACTATTCCAAATGGAAAGATTGTAAGTAAGGCACACTGGACAAGCGAAGGCATCTATGGTTGCAAAGCAGGCCTATTTCCAGTTTGATGGCAGGCATGGTCCTCCTTTCTTGAATGCAGCCCCCTAGGATGAGAATGCCATTCCTCATTCCCGATACTGTCTCACTGCATGCTAATCGTAATATGATCCCAAGTCCTTTGCTCTAAAATCTCACTCCCCACCAGATGTGTGACTATGGCCAAGTTCCTAGACCTCACTGAGTCTCTGTTTCCTCATCTGGAAAAAACTATACCAACAGCACCGTCTTAATTGCTTTCTTGCTGCTCTGATATACTCTGGACATAAGCAACTTAATGGAGAAAGGGGTATTTCAGCACAAGGTACAGTCTATCAGAGCAGAGAAAGCAAGGCAATTGGGACTTGCAGCAGCTGATCGCCTCACATCTGCAAACAGAAAGCAGATGAACACATGCTAACACTCGCTCGGCATGCTTTCTCTACTCAATACAGTCCAGGATCCACGGCCCAGGAAATGGTCTCACCCACAATTAACAGGAGCCTTCTCACATCAATTAATATAATCAAGGTCATGCCCACAGGCATGTCCAAAGGCCTATCTCCCAGGGGACCCTAGATTCCATCAGGTTGACAGAAATGACCATCCCAAGCACTTACACTATGGGGGGGGGGTGTTAAGACTCAATAAGGCAACAAAGGCCAAGCACTCACTGCCCTCCCTGACATACCCTAGATGCTCAGCAACTGCTTCCAGCATCCATTGAAGTAGTTGCTGAAATGAAGAACAGCATGCTATACAGGTTGCTTTACCAGGACAGGAATCACCTCTGGCCTCTTTTTAGATATGCAGATTTATAGGATTCACTCCTGACTTGCTGCCAGAATTTCTGGAGACAGGGCCCAGGAACCTGTACTGAAGTTATGCAATATCTTTTGTAGACTGCTGGACCTACCTGCCTCGTGGTACCCTGGCCTGGGCATTACCACCCTCTACAAAAGTGATCTGCTTTTAAAAATTAAAGTGCTCTACCAGAATCCTTCTCTGATAGCCTGTCAACCTCCCTCCTTCCTGTCCCTAGCTGAATCACATCATTGCCAATATGAGCAATCCGTTATTAGGAGAGTCAACAATAAATGTATATTACTGTCAAAAGCACTACTCCCTGCTAACATGAATTAAACATGTCTAAAGTGTGAAATATGTTAACTAGTTTTTATTATTACTGTGCTCTGTATGAATTTAATCCACAGGAGACAGGTGCTACTCCTACTACTACTTTAGAAATGGAAAACCAAGTTACAGAAAGGCTAAGCCAGCGACCTAAGGTCAAAAAGACAGTAAATGACACGGCGGATATCTGAGTCCAGACATGGTGACTCCAGAAGTCAGGCTATTATCTAGTACACTTCAGTGTTTCTCTAAATGAACTGCCCTATGCCTGCTAGTACTAATTTAAGCTATCTACAGTGCTATTAATATTTATTTCATACATGTTCTTCATTATCTTATTACAGCGAAGGCATTTATCACAGACATCTCGAACTCTTGTGCTCCAGTGTCTTAAATCTCCAGCCACAGCATGAAAGGCTGCGGGAGACCAACAGCTGGGTGGGTCTGGTCTCTTTCTATGTGCTTAGGGCCTATCTTTCTAGAGAAAATGGATGGACAACGTGCATCTTAACTGTTAATCCTATCTATATTTTCCTCATCAACATTTGAAAGGTATCTAAACGTTCAAGGCCCCTCCATTAGCTTAACTTCCCAAAGGAGGCTCTTTCTGCTATGTGTTTAGACAAGATATCTCATTCCTCAGAAAGAGGATGGAGTCCAGTGACCCGAGACAGACAGGGTATTCTGAGAATTTCTTAGCTGGTATGCTTGGCCAGATATCCGACATTTTAAATCAACTCTTTCATCTTTTAGATCAAGTGTAGGCTAAAATAACCAATTTTGGCCAGGGGCAGGTGGTGAGACCATTTGCTGTGTAAACATGAGGATGTGAGTTTGAAATATCAGCATCTATTTAAAAAAAATGGCCATGGCTGTTGAGACATGTAACCTCAGAGCTCTGGGGGAGGCAGGAACAGGGGGATCACCTAATGCCCACCCGCCTCACTTCAGGCTCAGTGGTGACCCCTTTTGCAAAGTAATAAGGCAGAGATTGACAGAGAAAGGCTACCCCCAACATCCTCCTTCTTTGGTCTCAACATTTGTAACCTTTCCCACACATGCATGTATACATACAATAACCAATCTGAAGAATTCTGATACATGGTACATTATGATATACCTTGAAAACATGATGCCAAATAAAACAAGCCAAAATCAATGAGGCAAATATTGCATGATCCCATATATATGAGATAACCTAGAATAGACAAATACACAGAGCAGAACATAGAGTAGTGGTTGCTGGGGGAACGGATATGAGAGCAAGAAGTTAGAGTTTGGTGAAGTACAGTTTCCACTGAGGATGATGAACAAGTCCTAGAAGTAGATACTGATGGTCGTTGTAAAACACGGAAAATGTGCTGGGTATTGAACTATACACTTAACATGGTTGGAATAGTTAGTTTCATGTTATGTGTATCGTGCCATAAGTTTTCCAGTCTCATACCCTACACAGCCCATTTCAACCCCCATGGAAGTAGTGCTTACCAGGGTATCATCATTCTGGTCTCCAAACATTTCTTTAAAAATCTTGCCAGGATCAGGAATTGGAGGAAATATAATGATCTTGAGCCTTTAAGAAAAGAGAGATTTGTTTGAATCAAACTTCCCAGTGCACAGGAGTCTCTCACATAAAGACAGCTCTTTCAAAAACAGGCATACAAAAGCCACAGTGCCCAAGTCACTTTTAGAAAGTCACCTTTAGTCATAACAGAATTGTGAAGGACAGGTTTAAATGGCTATGAGAAATCAGTGTCCCAAGACCACCAAATCTGCATAGAGGAAACAAGGCACCAACTTAAATTACTTACGTCATTTAAAAATAATGAGGGCCAGACATGATGACACACATCTTTAATCTCAGCACTCAAGAGGCAGAGGTAGGTGGATCTTTGTGAGTTCAAGGCCAGCCTGGTCACATAGGGAATTCTAGGCCAGCTATGGCTACACTGTGAGGCTTGTCTCAAAAATAAAATAAAATAATGGGCCATAATTTTAACAAATAAGAAGCTTGCTTTTATAATTTTGATACACACACACACACGTAGTAGTCTAATTAGTCTAATGGCACAGGCCTATAATCTGAGTTACTCAGGATCTTGGGGGCAAGATGGTTGTAAATTCAAATCCTGGCTGAGCTATAGAGTAATTTTAAGGCCAGTCTAAATAACTTAGAGCCTGTCTTAAAAAGTGAGAAGTGGGTTGGGGGATATGGCTTAGTGCAAGAGTTTAGGGTCAATGTTCAGCACTGCCACACACACAAAAAATATCCCTTGTTTTTTGCGGGTGTTTTGTTTGTTTGGTTCGTTGGTTTTTGTGTTTAAACAGCATATTATGTTGCTCAAGCTGTCCACAGACTTGTTATACAGTTAAGGATGGCCTTGAACTCCTTATTTTTTTGCCTTTACCTGCCAAGTGCTAGGATTACAGGCACACGCTGCTTCACACAGCCAAAAGTTGATCATTTCTCCTTTCTTCTTGCTGCTCTCCCATTGTTTTCAATCCTAGTGATGCACACGCCAGACAAGTCAGCTGCTGCCTAGCCACACCCTCAGCCCCCTCCTCTCTTTCTTGTGGGCCTGCCTCACCTCTCAGGGTGGGTCTTGAGGTGTACCCTCTGTCCTCCTGTGTCTTTATCTAATTGCTTGCTTTAATCATTTGAAACCTGGTCCATGACATGACTCTCCAAATGTTATCTCTATCTTAGAGCTCTTCCTTAAACTCCAGGTCTAGGTATACAGTTGTCTACTGTATACATCTACTTGGATGCTTACTAGACATCTCTTACAATAGATTAAAAACTTAAATCCTTCCCTTTCTCTTAAAGGTAGCACTCCTCACGTTTTTCCTATCTTGGAAAATGTCACTGACACTCAGCTGTTGACGGTCAAACTCTGGAATATTCGATTTCCCTCACACCTCCATAAGTAATTAACCACCAGCAAGTCTTGTTAATTTGGGCTTTTGGAATATACCTCAAATTTATCTAACCACTTCTTCCTCCTTATACAGACTGCTTTCAATATGCATAGTGTTAAATGTCTTTAGCCCCAGCACTCAGGAGGCAGAGATAATGGATCTCTGTGAGATGGAGGCCGACCTGATCCACATAAAGAATTCCAAGCCAGCCAAGGCGACATAGTGAGACCCTGTCTCAAAATAAAAACCAACCAAACAAACAAAATGACCAAAAATAAAGACTGCTCTTTTCACGCTTCCTTCCATCTGCTTCTATTCTTGTCCAAACGAACTCTTTAATAGAGGCATGATCCTATACTTAACAGTACATGCATGACCACACAAATTCTCTGCTTAGGGTATTCCAAGATCTCTTCCATGGTTAGGATAAAAAGTCTCAGTTCCTTTTCATGCCGTACTTGATCCTATCTGCCAGTTCTACAGCCTTATCTCCGGCCACTCTCCCTCACCCCATCTCTTCCAGGCAGACACCACAAGCTCATTTTAGCCCCTAAGCCTTGGTACTTGCTTTTTCCTTAGTCTGGAAAAATAGTTGAATAGCTCAATGCCTTTATTTTATGAGTCTCTAATCCAATTATCATCTTCTCGGAGAGGGCTTCCCTGGCCTCCTTATGTGAAATGAGTCTTCTAGCATTGCCTTCCTCTACCTCCTGCCAACCTGAATTCCTGCTATGGATGTGTATTATCCCCTCTAAAAATATAGAGAGAGCCTCTGTTCTATTCACGCCATAAGCCTGGCACTTTGAATGCTAGCGAGCATATAAATAGATATCTAGCATATAATGTTGAAATAATGCTAAAGCATTGGTTTGGGGCCCAGATCAATACTTTCATTCCAATCTTGAGAATTTACTAGAAGAGCAGCAACTATCTCTACACTGCTAAAGAGAAATAAAGCATCCTTTCTCTTCTTTGACACATGGTCTCATGGAACTGAAGGTGGCACCATGCTCAGCAACAAAAGCATTCTTAAAGAATGAGTAGCATAGCCGGGTGGTAATGGCGCACGCCTTTAATCCCAGCACTCGGGTGGCAGAGGCAGGTGGATCTCTGTGAGTTCGAGGCCACCCTGGTCTACAAGAGCTAGTTCCAGGACAGGAACCAAAAAGCTACGGAGAAAACCTGTCTCGAAAATCAAAAAAAAAAAGGATGAGTAGCATATATTAGTGATAATCTGGCAGAGTTCTCTTTCCTGTGGCATCGAGTAGCGGCCTGCCTTTCATTAACACTAGATAAGTCATTTTATTAGCAATAGATTTCTTTTCGTATTTTCCTTTTCTGTTGGTGCTGGAAATTGAACCAGTCTCAAACATGCTAACTATGTGTCCTACCACTAAGCTCCACTCCCAGACCCAAGTTCTTCTTTTTTTAAATTGTGCATGGAGTTTTGGAGGGAGCACACATGTGGGTGCCACTTGTGATCTTTATATGTGCACAAGACAATGCTGTGGAAATGATTCTTTCCTTAAACACTGACATGGGTTCCAGGGATCAAACTTGCATCACCAAGCTTATTCAGAAAGTGCCTTTACCCAGTGAGATGTCTTGCGAGCCCCCTTAATCCCCTATTTCTAAAAGCTCATTCCAAGAGTTGCCAACTAACTGTGGATAAAGCACGTACTGAAAAGAGTCAATGAAAATAGCACAGGTGTCTTTAGCAATTCTAGACATGTACACAGAAAGCCATGCCAAAGCAGTGCTGTGGGAAACTCACTAGATGCTTCCTTTACCACAAAATGGGCATGATGATTTGCCCATCATTTCAGCATAAGTCATGTCTGATTGCAATTGTGCAAAAATTGTTGTGGCCAACAATACACCATCATGAAGAATAATAAGCATAACACACAGGCTAGCAGGAACTCTAAAATCTGCCTGGGCAGTGGCTTACCTTTTCAGGTAAAGAAGAAGGACAATGATCGCACCTGCAACAATGACCGGAATGATGAGTAACATCGTTATGTAGAATGTGGAGTTCGACTCCTTGCCTACAGAATAGAAAGTTAAGCACAAAGACATGAGAACTACAAATTCTTTTTTGTAATGAGCCAGGCAACAATTCCATTTGCTAGTAAGATCACAGCTATTTCTTTCCTATGTCACAACCCATTTTCCCCAAATTCTTCAATTATCTTACTAGTTTGAAAAATTATCCTATTCTGGTGCCTCAGCTTTCAAGATGAGCAAGTACCTTAAGGACTGTTAGCAACCAGGGCATCTTAACTTGTTTTAGACAGTATTAAATAAAAGACTGCATATCTGACAATGACTGTCCTTTCTTTTTTTCTTCCTTCCTTTCTTTTTCTTCTTTCTTCTTTCTTTTCTTGTTTCTTCTTTCTTTTTTTCTTTTTTTTGGGGGGGGGGATTTTCAAGGCAGGGTTTCTCTGTGTAGCCCTGGCTGTCTGGGAACTCACTTTGTAGACCAGGCCAGCCTTAAATTCACAGAGATCTGCCTGCCTGTGCCTCCCAAGTGCTGGGAAGAGGTATGCACCACTACCACCAAGCTTGACTGCCCTTTATTACTATTTACTTAAAGACTTACTATCATACTTTCTTACTGCCACTATTGAATACTTAAATAAATCCTAACAACTACTACCATTATGATTCTTAAAGAGTGCCTCCCCTATATGTCTAGTACCATATCAGGTGCTCTGACATATTTATCTCTGAGCTATTCTATATGTTAGACAATATTATTGCAGAACTATGCAGGGATAAGGCTCAGGCAGGCTTCAAATATAGAACTGTCAAATTCCAAACTTTGTTTTTCTACACCTAAAACATGGAAAGCTAATTATATATTTCTATGTTCAACACAAGGGCATGGGATTCTTGAAAGCATCATCAGGACCTAATATCCTTGTCTTAGGGAACTTCAAAAATGACCCCAGATGATTCCTGCCTCCCAGTGATCATACAATCCCCTGTCTAGACATGGGTTGCACTGATTGACTTTCTTCTAAATAACAAAACAGCACCAGTACTGGTCTCTCATTTTCAAGATAAGTGATGACAGACCATACTTTTTACAAGGCTGTTCTTGTAATGGTCTGTCCTATCCCTTTAAGAGACAAGCCCCTTCCACTACCTTCCCCACCTCTACCACTGAGGCAGGTGGATCTTCCTTCTGCTTCCAGTATTAGCCCCTTCCTTTATGTCTCTCTTCCAAGATGTAGCTGCTGCTGTGGCTCCTCTTTCCCCCATTTCTTTCTCTCTCTCTCTCTCTCTCTCTCTCTCTCTCTCTCTCTCTCTCCCCCTCCCTCTTTCTGCTCTTTCCCCTTCTCCTTTCCCTTTCCTTCCATAACCCACTAGATAAATACCCACTTTCTCTGCATGGCATGCCTATCTATCTCAGTCTCCCTGCCTGGGACTGACTGCTTCTGTGGCCCACCATGGTCTCAGGATCCACTGCCCACTACCGCCACTCGGGGACCTGCAGCGTTTCTGATGCTGTGCCCCCCGGGGAAACCACAGCTTTTATTTTTACCATAGCAGTTCTCTTATAAAGCCTTTCTTGCTAGGATTGCTCACCTGGGGGAGCCTATTTCTATGTCAGAAGGGAGCCCTGTAGACAGGCCTAAGGGGACAGGGAACTAAAAACATATATTTCTACTAGATTCCCACTGCAGATCACAGAAAACTGGATACTTGAAAAAACAAAACTTTTCTTTCATGGTTCGGGAGATAAGAAGTTCAAATTCAAGATACTGGCAAAGCCATGCTCCTTTCTGAAGGCTATAGAAAACAGTCTCCCACTTTTCTCCAGCTTCTGGTAGCTGTCTTTGGAGTTCCTTGGTTGGGGCTACCTTACTCCAGTATCTTCCTTCATCTTCATATGACTTTCCCCCTAGCAGCTCTCTGCGCATCCTCTTCATTTTTCCCCTTCAGTATACCTAGAAGTGGACTCTTCAGTCCCTGCCAAGCCTTTGGATGAGATTATAATACCACTTGTGGTCCTGATGCAACCCTTGTGAATAGACTCTTAGCCAGGTGGTGGTGGTGACACACACCTTTAATCCCAGCACTCGGGAGGCAGAGGCAGGCGGATCTCTGTGAATTCAAGGCCAGCCTGGTCCACAAGAGCTAGTTCCACGACTGGCTCCAAAGCTACAGAAAAACCCTGTCTCAAAAATCCAAAAACCAAACAAACAAACTCAAAACTACACTAGTCTCCTGACCTTGAGAAACTGGTATGTGGTTGGTAGGTGTCTACAATTATAAGCTATTGAACTTTGGTGTCATTTACTTTGTTTTTATGATTTTTTTTATTACTGAGACAGAGCTTCACTCTGTAGCCCAGGCTGATTAATGATTCACTATGCAGCCATGGTTGGCCGCAAACATGCCAATCTTCCTGCCCAAAGCCCTTGAGTACTGGAATTATAGATCTTAGCCGCCATTCTTAGATAATGTTGGTGTACTTTGTTCTGTAACAGCAGATAACTAATTCGACCACATCTGACACACAGCTTGTTGAGTCTCTCAATGAATAGGGGGTGACATTCTCCAAAAATCCATTCCTCTGACTCTTTTAACACTTTAAAGCCAGGCAGTGGTGGCACAAGCCTTTAATCCCAGCACTCAGGAGGCATGGGCAAGCGAATATCTGTGAGTTCGAGGCCAGCCTTGTCTACAAGAGCTAGTTCCAGGACAGCCTCCAAAGCTACACAGAGAAACCCTGTCTTGAAAAACCAAAAAAAAAAAAAAAAAAAAAAACCCTCCACCACCACCAACAAAATCAGCCTTTGAAAAAGTCTCATATTGGTTTTATATTGCCCCTAGTGGCCACCAAAAGAAAAGCCAATTTCCTCTTCTACCCAGCAATGCCTTAAATTTAAGAATTGAACAGTTCTATCTTCTCAAATTTACTCCATGTACAGTTCCCTATTGAGTTTGAGGTTCTTCAGTATCCTCATTACCCTTCCAACGACAGATTCCAGGCAGTCACTGTATCTCTTACAATGTGATGCTCCACACGCAAATTGGGAAAGGTGTTGGCACAAACTCACTCTCTCTCTCTCTCTCTCTCTCTCTCTCTCTCTCTCTCTCTCTGTGTGTGTGTGTGTGTGTGTGTGTGTGTGTATGTGTTTGCATGTAAGTAAGTAAAAACCAGAGTTAATGTCAGGTATCTTCCTCTTTCTTTCTGCCTTATTTTTAAAGACAGAGTCCCTTCCTAAACCTGGAGCTCACCAATTCAACTAGATTAGCTGGCAAGCAAGTTTCAGAAATCCTCTTGCCCCTACCCCCTGAGTACTGGGATTACATGTGTATACCCCCATGCTAAGCTTTTTCTAAGGAGGTGCTAGGGACTGAACTTAGGTCCCCATGCTTACACAGCAAGCACTTTACCAGATGAGCTATGTCCTTAGCCTGATTTCATATTTCCTATGGGGATGAACCATGGATGCCCTACCCTGCAACACTATCTTGATGTGTGAGCTACACCAGCACTGTTAGCCAAGACTGCGCATGCATTTTTATCTGGCATCCAACTCAAACAGGTCTTTCTCATGCTTTATTTGAGCATGGCCTACTCAGCATAGCCACTAACAAGGCTTACCTCTATTAAATACCATCAAGCTCATTGCTACCCTCCTGAGCCTATCAACCAGCATAAAGGACAGTCCTCTGGTCCGGTACAACCTGAAAATTTGATGGTGCTTGGCTTCTGTGTTTTTGTTTGGGTTTCTGATAAAGATGGAGATGGGGCAGAGGTGAGGATAACACCCTATGGATCGTGGTCTTCCAAAGAACTGTATGCTGTCTATCAACCCTGGGCGATTTGATAACAATTAGATGGAAAGGAAATGTGCATTTTAAATGCTCTCTGGCATCAAGAAAGAATGGCAAACCCTTTCCCAATCTATTTTGTGTTTCAACTTAATTCCCGCCATCAGTGTTTTAGCCTGTAATGGCACTGTCTTCTCTTACCAATGCTCAGGGCTTCGCTCCAGTTACTCCACAGGTAGTTGTCATCAAAGCATAACCTGTTTGTTTTGACTCTTACTCTGACGGTGTAGACAGTGTCAGCAAGAACACCAGGGAGGATGAAACAGCCTGCACCCTTTGAGACAAAGCAGAAACGCACAAAAATATCATCAGTTAACTCCCCTTAGCTCTGCTGTTGAATGATAATCATTGGTCATATTCTGTATGTGATTAAGACTTGGGTTACAATTCAGATAATCTGACTTTGACTCCTGAAAAACACTGGCAATAATCCACAGAACAAAACAGTTTGCTTTTCACTAAGCATTTCAAGTTTACGCTGTTCCTGACCTGCCCCACCCCCATTACTTGGTGTCGAAGCCCAGATAACAAAAGCTGAATTAACTGACCTCCATGTTTTGATCAAATTCTGAATTCTGGCATTTGTCCTCTTCAACCTTGAAAAAAAAAGTTCCAAAATTAAAAAAAAAATGTTTTATGCTTTTTCTTTATGCCACTTTTTTTTTTTTTTGGTTTTTCGAGACAGGGTTTCTCTGTGGCTTTCGAGCCTGTCCTGGAACTAGCTCTGTAGACCAGGCTGGTCTCGAACTCACAGAGATCCACCTGCCTCTGCCTCCCGAGTGCTGGGATTAAAGATGTGCACCACCACCGCCCAGCTCTTTTTGCCACTTCTAACAGGCTTTCCTCGCATCCTATTACAAGAACATGTGGGCTGCAGCGATGTGTCAAGCTAAGAGAACTTGCTTCTCTTCCAGAGGACCAAAGTTTGATTTTCAGCATCCATGTTAGGCAGGTCACAACTGTCTACAACTCCAGTTACAGGAAATCTAACACCTCTGGCTTCCTCTGGCACCTTCATTCATATGCACATACCCGTACACACACACACACACACACACACACACACACACACACACACATAAATAAAAATGATGCAAAATTTAAAGAAATAAAAGAGAAACATTCAGTGGATAAATAAGCAGTGCTGTGTATATTACATATCCCTGCGAATAAAGAAAGTCTTTCCCTCTACCTCACACCGTTCACAAGACCATTTTCAAGTGTGCTGCAAATGGACCTATGGAAAGTCAAGTAAATGAACAAAGGGACCGTAGAGATGGCTCAGTGGCTAAGTGCCCACCGTGCAGGCACAAGGACTAGAGTTCAGAGCAGTAGGACACATATGTAATACTGGGTTTGTGGGTGTGGCATTCACCTGTAAATCCAGCTCCAGAAAGATGGAGGCAAGAGGATTGCCCATAGCAATCTGGAGACCAGCTATATCAGTGAGGCAGAGGATTGCCCATAGCAATCTAAAGGCTAGCTATATCAATGGGTTCCATGTTTGATTGAGAGATCTATCATTTTCAGTGAAGAAAGTTGAGGCATGATAATGGCGGATTCTCAAAGTCAACCTTGAGCCTCCACACACATGCAAACACACACCTACACCACACATAAGTGAGAGGAAAAAAATAAATGAACAGACATAAACACATAAATATAGCAAGCCATCAGAGGACCCATCTTCATAGCTTTGAAAGAGAAAAGGACGTGTCAAGCAGCACCTATGAACCATAAAGAAATATTTTATAAAATGTTAACACTAAAAAAAACCCACAACCTATTAGGGAAACAAGCAGGCCATGTAAAGAAGAAGAAAACATATTGTATAAACCCTAACGAAGGCTGTGAATATATTCTTCCTCTAAATATTAATGAAAGACAGCTCAATAATTGGAAAATGACCTGAAGAGGGAATTCACGAGAAAATATGTACATGGGCAATCAATAAGAAAAAGTTCTTAACTTCACTGGACATCAGGGAAGTGCAAATGAAGTAGAAATAACAACACACAGACCTCCCAGAAACTATTAAATGTTGATGGGTCACAAGGTGCCTGCAACTCTCAATTTCTACTAGATGTGCAAATTGGTACAAACATTTGGAAAATGTTTTCTATAGAGGCAATCATCTGTAACCTTTGGACATCTCACCCCCCACATAAATGGAGGCATGCCCACAGAGAGTTATGCACTTATGTACCAGGAGACAGGTATGCAAATGTCTGTAAACCACTATTCATTGTAGCTTAAACTGGAAATTTGCCAAGTCAATGAGAAAATCCATTAGTAGAAAGCGATACAGTTGCACAATGGGATGCACATGATGAAAATTAACCATCTACGTATACTGGGAAAGTCTTGTAAACTTTATGTTGAATCAAAGATGACAAACCCACGGAAAATATGCTGTGGCATTGATGGTATAATGGTGAACATAGTTGCTGTCCAAATAAGTCACTGATTGAGAGAGAGAAAGAGACATGCAGAGACATAAACTTGTTTCATTTCCTGGGGGTGATTTCAACCCCCTGGGTAAGCTAGTCTCCTCTCAGCCCTCTAGACATGGCTAGAATGCCTGAGAAAGTTTAAATAGTAGCAACAAAACCAATCTACACGATTAGAAGTCCTGATCATAGTTTTCCTTTTGGGGTATAGCACCTAGAATAGATAAGGAGGGGCTTTTGCAGTGTTGGGCTATACAGGTGAAAGGTAATTTGTAAAACTTATTTCTAAAGCTGTCTGCAGAAGCACATGCCTACAATTTCAGCACTTGGAAGGCAGAGGCTGGAGGGCCAGCAGTTCAAGGCCAGCTTTAGCTACACAGTGAGCTTGAGACAAGCTCTATGAGACTCTTTTTCCTAAAAACAAGATAAAAAACAAAGCAAAAACTCAAATAAATAAAATAACTTATAACAATCATTGACATGTATATTATGACTTATGCAATATTTTTCTAGAGTGAATTATATTCTGTTACAAAAATATTTAAAATTGTTTATTTAATGTGTTTATCTGAATGGATGTATGTGCACATATATAGGCAGAAGTCAGAAGAGAGCATTGGATTCTCTAGAAGTTTCGACAGTTCTGATCCCTACCATGTGGGTGGTAGAAACTGAACACAGGTTCTCTACAAGAACAATAGGTGGGCTGTATCACTGAGCCATTTCTTTAGCCCTCCACCACTAATTTTTAAGACACTCATCTTCCTTGTTGAATACCTAAGATATAAATTTGAATTCTTCAACAACAGTCAAACAAAGCAAGCATGAAAATCTGTTGCTTAGTCTTAACAGTTAAACTTAGGTCAACAAACATTTTAAAAAGTTCCAATAATTTACTTTCATATTGTGTGCATTGGTGTTTTGTCTGCATGTGTGTCTATGTGAGCGTGTGGGATTTCCTGGAACTGGAGTTACAGATGGTTGTGCGCCACGGTTGCTAGAATTTGAACCCCAGGCCTCTGCAAGAGCAGCCAGTACTCTTAATCACTGTGAGCCATCTCTCCAGCCCCTGTCAAAGGAACATTTAAACATGGTGTAAGGACCACAACATACCTCCATTAATTTTGGCACTCAATGTCATTCACTAAATAGTCCATACCAGCATTTCTGAAGAGCTAAAAGGCCAACAGAACGAGAAAAGCCTATCATTCCAGTAGTGCATACACAGGCAGAGAAAAAACAGGTAGCCTCAGTGTCCTATTGCTGGAACCACTGGCCTTCTGGGAAATGACAAGTGTCAAGTGCCACTTGAGGGATCAAGCTGTAGACTGATGTCACTTCTTTCCTGGACCATTTCCCAAACATATGAATGCCAAAGTCAGCAAATCACTGTGTAGATTAAGTCTAGGCTCTCATTCCACTGGAAATCCTCACGTATGGGTCAGCAGCTGCTGCTGTCTCTGAGATGAGGAAAACGAGGGCACAGAACACCAAGTAGACAGTTGTCTAGGAAGGAGTGGGGATACGAAAACAATTCCTATCTTATTTCATGATTCTGTTCCAAGCTCTCTCTGAATATAACAGCCCCCAGTATGATGGTAGGAGCCCATGGTCCAGTTTACCCATTCCCAGACCTGCAACTCCAACAGACAACTACAACTCCTCAAGTAGTCTGTCTCATCAGCAAAGCTCAAACTTTGCACACAAAAAGCTGATGTCATTCTAGGGTGGAAGCAGCTGGTGAACATCTGCTTGAAGAAAACACTAAACTCAAGCACAAATAGAGTCATTCCAGAGAGACTACAGTCCGGTCTATGTATATAACATCCACAGCATACATGGTTTCTTTAGTTCAGAAGCGACATATTTCTTAATATTTATTAATTCAACAAGACTTTAATTAGTATGTTTTTTTAAGTACTAGGGATTGAACCTAGGACCTCAAGCATGCTAGGCAAGGGTTCTATCACTAAGATATAAACTTAGCCCTCATTTATTGTACCAGGTAATCTTGGGCTAAGTCGAAGACACAGAGACTGGCCTCTGAGTTCATACTGACTTACAAGTTGTGTGAAAGTTCTTCAACCTTGGTTTCTCAAAAATACGGGTTCCCATACTACTAGCTTCATGGGTTATTACGAACTAGTCCATCAGACGCCCTTAGACCAGTGTCTCTGTAGTATGTTCTAGACAGCTAATAAATGGTAGGCATTAGTGTTAAGAGAAGTACTAAGGTGGTCTCCAGGGGCTAAAAACACAAACTTGGGGTTAAGACTTTTGCTTCAATCTCTTTGAGTTTTTATATTCCACATGAGCATTTTGCTGGCATGTATGCTCCATGGTGCCCTCAGAAGCCAGAAGATGGCATCAAATCCCTAGAACTGAAGTTACAGTCAGTCTTGGGCCACCATGTAGGAACTGAGAATCAAAGCCAAGTCTTCCAGCAAAGCAGCCAGTTCTCTTAACAACTGGACCATCCCTCTAGCCCCTTTTGCTTAAATCATGATTCTTTTACTAGAAATATGGCCTTAGGTGTAACGAAACTTTCCCAATGTAAGGCAGGGATCAAATAACGGGACATAGGTCCCTAGGCTTAGTGTGATCTCTAAATGAGAGAACTGAGAGAAAGTACTTAGTAATAAACCTAAATAGTCACCATTTGGTGGATATAAGTTGTTAGTACCAAGGACAGAATGAAGTCAACACGACCTGCTATCTGTTGCCTACTTTCAACGGAGAGAAGAGGCCTAAGTGTGGTCAAGCTTTAGAAAGCAAATGAGTTCAGAGAAGCAGTACTTGTTTTGGCATTTCCCACAGAAGCACCAGGGGAGAGTAAAGGCTGGAGTGTTCGAAATACTCACTTTGCTTTCAATCCCAACATTCTCCCCTCCCTGCCCCCAGAAATAATTTCTTTTCGCATGGGGACATGGTGCTTTCTAACACTCACAAGGACTGAACATTATTACATAGCTTCATTTGCAAACGCCCTGAAGGGCTCTGTCCTGCTGTGGAGCTGGGCATTCCCTGTGGAGTTAGAGAATGTCAACATTGACTTATTTTCGTAAGCATTTGGAGAGTTCCATAATGAGCGAAAACAAGTGGACCCAGAACTTTTAGCTGCATGCAAGATACTGGGTTCCTCTAAAAGCAATCTAACACAGTTTAGTACAGACCTTCTAAAATGAAACTGCACAAAGGACCCCGACCAGTAGCAAACAAGAGAGCAAGGTACTGTCGTGGTCTTGAGGCACCACCTTATGGAAACATACACCTAGGATGGTCTGGCTTGAAATCTGGACCTACAAAGGGTTTTTAGTTATTACATTTAGTGTGTACCTGGGTATATGTGCATGTGTGTGGGTGTGTGACTGATACGGCACACATGGGGAGGTCAGAGGAAAACTTTGCAGGAATTGCTTCCCTCCTTCCACCCCTGTGGATCCCACAGCTCATAAGGCTTAGCAGCAAACCACTGAGCAATCAGGCCAGCCTCCCCACTCCAACTGAAATTTTCTAAGCAAAGCAACAAAGTCCTCACAAGAATCTATAAAACATAATGGGACCGATGCCCTAAAGTTACACCATATTCTGATGAAGGCCCCACAGAGACTTTCAATTTGTATGTTTTGCATCGGTTTTTGGACGGCAGATATGAGTGTAATCCAACAGGCACTGACTATTTCAATTTGACTACATTCCTGCCACAAACTCCAAGAAAACAGAGTGTCCTCCCTAGGGCCTCTACACACCTGCACGGGTTTGTCTCTGCCTATTGCTGAAACACTGCTCCTGTCTTGTTCTGGCCACGCCCGCTCCCTCTGCTCTCAACCACATCAAGCCCACTCTTGACTCCGGTTTTCTTTCATCTGCTGCCCCTTCTAACCCCAATTCCGCACACAGCTAGCTCCTGCTAAGCACTCTGCTCTCATCTCAAATACCATTATTGCGTGTGACTTCCCTACCTAATATTTCCTCAGGCCCTTCTAGTCCTTCTACTTATCAGATCATTTGCTTTTCCTTCATAATACACTGTGAAATTAGTTGACTAAGTCACATACTTATTTTCAACCAGCAATCTCCATGAGGTGAAAGAGAGAGCGAGAAATGTTTATCAACTGTCATTTTCATTGCTGTGGCAAGCAAATGTGTCTGGTACATGGCAGACAATAGCAATGTTTTAAGCAATTTAAACCCTGCACCCAATACTTCTGTAAACCTTCAAAACCTGCACTATGCCTTATTTTTAATTTTTTATTATCTGCTGACAAATGTTAAGAGCTACATTTAATTATTTTAGTAAAAGAAAACACTCCATAAAAGACCTATCATCTAACCAAACTTACAGAGAAAGGAGAATGTAGTCCATTTTGACTGTTTTTGACATCCACTTCAGAAGATAAGCATCTGCTGCTAAAATTCTGAGGATTCTTCCACTGCACAAATAAGACATCATTTTTGAAGAAAAGATGTTTAATATGTGGAGGACCAGGTTTCACTGAAAGATAGAAGAAAGAAAATTAGTTTCTACAAGTTCATTTAATTATGTGTATATAAGATATGATTATATATGTAAACTGGATAATGAAGGTTCACAAAGTGAAATCAAAATAGGGCTGATGGCTTTTAATGGCCTCACATGATCTGATATAGAGTTTGAGAATTTCTGATTACCCACAATTAGCAGAGGAAGTGTATTTAAAACTGCCCAGTAAAATGGATTTAAGGAGAGCTTTTGGGGTTATCTGGTAAATGACATGAACTCTGATCTGAGTCTAGTCAGAAAATGGTCAAAGCAGAACCAGGACATCTAGATGCCACACAGAGGATAGAGAAAATGAGTTCTTGGATGCACAGGTACTTCCACCACATGGGTAAGAAAATACTAGGTACCAGAGGCTTCTCGAGCTCTCCCTCGCTGATGCCACTCCAAGATCATGATTTTAAAAAAATAGCCTGCTCTCCACTACAGGCTGTAACGTGTCTGTACTTTGATAACATTTTGTTAAGCGAAGCAAGCTGACCTAAAACAAGAGGAGTGCAGTGATCCTGCTCCTGTGAAATACTAAGGGAGCTGTAGTCAAAGGAATCGACTGCAGAGGCATGCTGCCAAGAGGGAAACAGAACTCCTGCTTAATAGGTAGAATTTCACTTGTGCATGACGAAAAACGTATAGATGCTGGGCAGTGGTGGCACACACCTTTAATCCCAGCACTTTGTAAGTGGAGGCAAGTGGGTCTCTGCAAGTTCGAGGCCAGCCTGGTCTACAGACCGAGTTCCAGGACAGCCAGGACTTTTATATAGAGAAATTCTGTCTCAAAACAAGAAAAGAAAAGAAAAATCTCTTATAGAGATCTTCTGTACAACAATATGAATATACTTAGCACTACTGTGCGTGTACAATGATAATGATGATTAGAATCCCAATTAAGAATAAAATACTTTGCCGGGCAGTGGTGGCGCACACCTTTAATCCCAGCACTCAGGAGGCAGAGGCAGGCGGATCTCTGTGAGTTCGAGGCCAGCCTGGTCTACAAGAGCTAGTTCCAGGACAGGAACCAAAAAGCTACGGAGAAACCCTGTCTCGAAAAATAAAAAAAAATAAAAAAATAAAAAAAGAATAAAATACTTTGAAAGCAATAGCTTTCAAAGGTCACATTACTTTTGCAGGAATGAACTGTACTTAAGAATAAGGAACAGAAAATAATGGGTAATTAACAGAAAACATATAGAGGCCAACTTCTTGTCAAGAAGAATTATTCTTTATGTTACCATTAATTCCAAAACGACCAGTAAAATAAACCTTAAAACCCTACCTAAGATAGTCTGCCAAAGAAGTAAGAGGAAAAAGAGGACTTTACTTTGGCCAACCCCATGTGATAAACTATCCTGACCTCACTCTCTTGGCCTACAAACTAGGCTGCCTTTGGTCCCCTGCTACAGTTGACTTCCAAGATTATCTGGAGGAGTGGTAAGTAGTGTTTTGCTTACAGATTTAGATAAGCCTTTGCCAAAAGATGCCTCTTTTCTATAAATCATTTAGCCAGAATCTGAGCTCCCTCATAGGTTACCGCAACAAGCAAACCGACATACTGACATTATTTTCCTTTGGAGATTTACAAAACGCCTTTTCATACCTCATGCCCTTTGGCGCTTACAATTTTTTGGAGTTGAAGTGGACTATATATTCCATTTTACAAATAAAGAAACACTCAAAAAGGGTCTATATGCTTTGACAAGAGGAGGCACTAGGTCCTCAACCAAATATTGGTTGTTCAAGTTGAAGCCTTGTGCTGGTTAATTTTGTCATTGAAATGAACTGGAGTCCTGGGAAGAGCAAGCCTCAACTGAGGATGTGTCTCTATCAGACAGACCTGCAGCCATATCTGTAGGGCACTTTGTTGGTTGATGATTGATGTGGCAGGACCTAGGCAACTGTGAGCAATCCCACCTCCAAATAGGCCGAGCAAACCAAAGGGAGCAGCTAGTAATCAGCCTTCATCTACGGTCTCTGCGTCAGTCTCTTCCTCCAGTCTCCCGCCTTGAGCTCCTTCCTCGGCATCCTTCAACAATGGTCCGTGACATGGAAATGTAAGACAAATAAACCCTTTCCTCCCCAAGTTGATTTGGACCAGTGTTTTATCAAAGTAACAGAGAAGTAAACTACCATTGGCCTCTCTAACAAGTCGATACTTAGCCAATATGACCAGATCTGGGTGTCCTAGACCGTGCGTGTGCCATGTGGAGTTCCGCAATTGGAATACAGTGGTGAGTGCATAGTTTAGTGGTAGAGCATTGCTCAGCATCCGCAAGGTCCTGCACTCAATCCCCAGCACTGTATCCCATCCAAGGCTTTCTAGCCAAAAGATTATTCAGAGACTATAACATCTGAAGAGCAGCTCTCCAGAGTACCAAAGTGAAACGAGATCTCTGAGTCAGGGAGCCCAGGTTCCAATCTTGGCCGCACAACTGGCTGCCCTAATAAATCTCTGCCTGTTTCTAAGTCAACGAGAAGAAAGCACGTGGTACTCATGTTCCAGAAATACCATTTCTCATCTGCGTCTTAAAGCATCAATCAAAGAAAAGCGTGTGTGCATGCAGTCTCTTGTTCCAGGAAGATCTTCAGACCGAAATTTATCATCTTCAATTATTTGCTTTAACCATTCAAAGACAGAATGACCTTTCATCCATGCTGTCCAAGGGGGCTTTGCAAACTTACCACGGGAAATTAAAGACACTATTTTGAAGGATGGCCTAATTTTCCCAGCAGTGTCTTTGACCATGATTTGAATGTTGTGCTGCTCAAAACTCGAATCTACTTTAGTCAGTTTAAAGGAACAGCTCATGCGTTGACCTTCTTTATAGATGTTTTCACACTGAAGAACTTTCCCCAGGCTGCTGTACCTACAAGATAAAATGAGACAATGCTCTGAGTTATTTTGAAGAAGGTCAAGAGACAAGGGTAGTTATTTAAAAAAAATGGCAGAAAGAAATCTCCATGAGAAACAATATATGCAATAAAGCATGATCGTTTTTAAGAGCCCGATTTCTAACATGGCTCATTTCATATTCTAGGAGAAAAGATTGTCCTTTGACAATGGGCATTAGTACTCACGATAGCCCTAGGCACTGGAACCCTTCCATTGCTCTTCTGTATGAGGGGAGAAGTTCTGAAGCCAGAATGAGAAGGTTTACCCCTTCTGAAAAGGCAGATATACCGAACCTCAGTGGCTTCCCTCTGCTCCACTCTGTCTCTTTCTTCCCGGCTCCAGGAGCGGGGGGGGGGGAGATAGTCATAATGACATTCGTCTCTACTTCTGTTTTATGTGTGGATGTATCCATGGGTGTCCGCACATATGCATATAGAGGCAAGAGGGAAGTGTTGGTGTTTTCCTCCATGGCTCTCCACTTTGTAACTTGAGACAGGGTGGCTCACTGGTACTTGGCTTACATTTACTGATCAGCAAGCCGCAGGGATCCTTCATTCTTCTCTATTTCAGTACTAGGATTAAAAAAGCACACACCTCTATACCCAGCTTTTTTTTTAAGAAAAAAATATGAGTGCTAAGGATGTGAATGAAGATCCTCATGGTTACAAAGTAAGCAGTATATGTACCAAAAAGGTCATCTCCTCAGCACCTCCCTTTCCCTACTTCTGATTTCCTTATCCATGCATTCTGCTGGTCACCCCATCCTTCTACTTTAATATGTATTCTGGGCAATTCCTAAACTTGACCATTCACCTCAGAATTCCTCCAAGATTTTGTAGGTTTTGTTCGTTTGTTTGTTTATTCCAGACAGTGTCTGTGTGGCCTGGAATTCACCAGGCTTGCCTGGAAATCACAGATACCCACCTGCCTCTGTCTCCTGAGTGCTGGGATTAAAGGTGTATGCCACCACCCTGCTCATCCCAGACTTTAAGGATTCTTCCCGTTTGCCTCAGCCATTGACTGAAGACACCATATGTACCTACCCTATCCCTCACCAAACTGCCATTTCTGCCACATTCCCATTTCTCCCACTCCGTGTTCATTTTCTTGATGTTCCTTAGATACATTGAAATAATGAACCTTTTTTTTTCTTTTTTCTCCATATCCTAGCACCAAATTCTGTTTGCCAACTCTCTTGGAGTCTCATCTTCTGTGATATTCCCACTGGTCACCCCCTAATTCATGATCTCACAGCTTCAGACTTCATACTTGACCCCTCTAATCTTCATTACTAATGCCTTCTCATTACCGCCAGATCAGCATTTGAGCACACGATGACTTTCGCAGTGTTCACTCTACCGTCCAGCTTTAAGAATTAGTGCTGCTGGCATCCTAAATCCCATTTCATCTCTACCCATGCCTTCCCAAGTGACCATGAGCACCTAGACAATGTGTTTATTACACTCTCTCTGTCTCTCTTTCACATCAGCTATCAGAGAACTCTATTTTTTAGGAACTGGAACAAGACAAGGTCAAGTCTTACATCATCTGCCACAGTTGCAGTTGTGCAAAGGTTCTGTAGAAAAGGAAGATCACTTTTAAAAATGAGCAAAGAACAGAGAGTCTCAAACCCTCACCTGTAACCTCAGAATTATCTGTAGTTCTTCCTGAGCTCAGAAAGCACAAAATCCTGCTGCAAACCAGGTTTGTTTTTTTTTAATGAAAATGTAATATGTTTACTCTACAAATACTACAAAGCAGTGTTTTGATATAGAATGTCTGTCAAGAGAAAGTGCATTCCTTTATGTTGCTGTTGTTGAGACACAGGGTCTTGATGGCCAGACTGGCCTCAAACTCACTCTGTTGTCAAAAGATAAACTTGAACTCCTAGGATTGTCCAGTCTCCCCCTCCAAAGTGCTACTATGATCATCTAAAAGCACGAAATCTTTCCTCTTAGTTGTAAGTCTCTATGGATCATAAAAGAAAACTTCTAGAATCTTAAATTATGGCCATGAGCAGTTTTGGGATTAGACAGTCCTGGAATGTTTTCCAATCAAAACAGAAACTAACACTACTAATGACATTGTCTTCTTACATAACAAAAGCTAGTGATAAATGTGACTTTAAAAATATAATGAGAGGAACTCCTGTGATGTACAGCCTTCTGGGTTCATTGTTCATTTTGTCCCCCCCACCAACAGTTCATAGATAACTCGTGGACTCTGAAGGTGATTAATGTGTGTGGGGAAGATCCCTACAATTCATCAAGTTGACCGGACTGGAGCTCTTCAGGTCAGGCTCTTTCCAATCCCAAACGACCCTGCTATGATACAAGTCACTGCTCTGGCTTGACAAACCATGATTTTGAATTAAAAAAAAATAATCTCCCCATTTTCTGACTGGGGACTAGGGCAAACAGTCTGGCAAATAGTGCAATGTGATCTACATGGATACCTAGGCCATTGTTCGGGTTTGCTAACCAATAACATGTCTGGACTCCCTTGCCTTTGGGGTTTTGATTGAAAGGAATCCATCTAGGGAAGTGGAGGGGAGGAGGAAGCATGGGCTTGATGCCAATTCCATGTGGAAGGAGAAGTGAGAATCACAGAGTGGTGACTGTATCTGCAAGGGAGCACAAATAACCAACAAACATCGGTATCTCCAGCCCTCAGGAGCTGCCATGCTGACCGTCAATCACGATTCCAAGCACTTTTTATATAGCAGCCCCCAACTTCAGAAGTAGTTAACATCACCATCCCCATTTTACAGATGATAAAACCGAGGCTCAGAGATAAGAAAGGCTTATTACAAGTAAGGATTTGAGCACACACATAGTCTGGCACCAGAATGAAGAAGTTGTGGAGTGGTGAGAGCAGACAACACAGGACAACACCGTCCAACAGAAATGGGCCATCCACTACAACAGTCATTTGTGACCTCTGGAACTGGCCGGTCAGACGGAGTCAGCGAGGTTTTAATTTCGTTGAAATTAAACTGTAAACAGCCTGTGGTGGTTTGAATGAGAATGGTCCCCATTAGTCATATACTTGAATGCTCCATCCTTAGTTGGTAGAAACGTTCGGGAAGGATTCAGAGAGGTGGCCTTGTTGGAGAAGGTGTGTCCCTGGAGGTGGATTTGGAGTTTTGGAAAACCCATGCCACTCCCAGTTAGCTATCTTTCTGTCTCGTAGTTAAGGGTCAAGATGTGGACTCTCAGCTACTGTTCCAATGCCATGCCTGGTTGGCTGCTGTCTCATCATGATAGTCATGAACTCTAACCTTCTGAAACTGTTAGCCCCAAATTAAACACTTTATTTTAAAAGCTGTCTCAGTCATAAAGTCTTAGCATAGCAATAGAAAAGGAACTAAGGCAGAGTCATACATAGCTAGCCTCTCCTGTACTGAGCAGCCAAGTCCACACTACGTAAACCATGGAAAGAGCCTCTGTCAAATGACCAGCACTGGAAATACATTGACAAGAAGTAGTATCTTTGATAACTGACCACTGGGGTGTCAGCAAACCACCACTTTCCAGATCACTCCTTGAGCCATGTCCAGTTACAGATTGTGCTCTGCCAGAATGCTTCAACTTGGGGCCGAAGGCCAACTCAAACACTGTTTGTTGTCAACTGTGACAAGAGCCTGCACCATCTCAGAGAAGAATGCTTTCCCAGATTAATCCCAAGAAGGCTGTCTTAGTCAGTTAGGGTTTTTATTGCTGTGAAGAGACACCATGACCATGTCAACTCTGATAAAGGAAAACATTTAATTGGGGCTAACTTACAGTTCAGAGGTTTAGTCCTTTATCATCATGGCAGGGACATGGCGGAGTGCAGGCAGATAGGGTGCTGGAGAAGGAGCTCAGAGTTCTACTTCTGAATCCCCAGGCAAGCAGAAGCAACTATGTGTCACACTGAGTATAGTTTGAGCAAGGAGACCTCAAAGCCCACCTCCACAGTGACACACTTCCTCCAACAAGGCTACACCTACTCCAACAAAGCCACACCTCCTAATAGTGCCACTCCCTATGGGGGCATTTTCTTTCAAACCGCCACAGGGACATTGCACGGCTTGCACTGAGTCTTGGTTTTTGCTAGCATATCTCCAGGGCGTGCACACCTCCTCCTATTTTTTATTTAATAGATCCTTAAGGACTAGTTCACCCCAATTGTAATAACTGATTGCTTTCCTTCAGTCTGTTGTAAAATGAGGTCATTTTAAGACTCCCCCTCACTCTCTTTCTAATCCCCTCCTATAGACACATTTCTAAAGGCTTTCCCTGTGATAACTCTGGGGTTAACAGCATAATAAACACAGGCATGCTACCAATTCCTAAGGTATCTTTCAAACCTATACTAACATCTCTCTATGCCTTTCACTGCAGAACAGAGCCAGGCGACTCCTAAAGGCTTAATTCTGTTTGTTACCCTGCTACCAAGTCTTGGGGAGCCAGACGTACTCAACCCTTCTTTTTCACTCCCGGACTATAGAGATCCTGCACTGCTTATATTTCTACGTCCTCATACAGTCTAGTTTTGGATCCTACCAAGAATTTCATAACTGATTTATGTAACACGTACCCCAAGTGTCGAGTGCTGGGGGAAGCAAAACACTGCCTCTGCTCGCAAAGGAGATTGCAGCCTGGAGAAGGGAACTACCACCAAGTAAACAGGAAATGATGATGCACTGTGCAGGGCATCGTGACACTCAAAGGTACTGCTGGGGATATGTCTCCAGACTTGAGAGGTACAGGAAGACAGTCTGAAGAGGAAATTGCATCTTAGCGGAGCGGAGGACAAACAGGATGCATTAGGTCAATGGACTGTGAAAGAAGGTAGAATACGTTCCCACTGGTCTAGGTAAAGATCCCTGTTTGAGTACCACTATTCTGGGTATTGAAGGGACCGTGTAAAGAGTGGAAATAAATTCAGTGTAGGCTGTAAGAGGGGCAGAAGTCCAAGGAGGGGGATGAGACACGCTAGACAGGTTGCCAGTAGCCAGGCAATCAGGGGCTTTGTCTGTCATGTTGAAGAGTATGGTAGGCTTTACCATAAAGGTACAAGAGTGCCACACGATGCATAAGAAAAGGTGATCCAGTGGGTACCAAGAATGAACAATGGGAACTTTTACATGGAGATGAGGGACTGGGAAAAAGAAGCCTACAGAGTTGTCCACACAATCTTAGGACCACCTGGCTTTACATGTGGTGTGTCTTAACCTTATCACGCTGACCCTCCCAACCAATAGGGAGGAGGGTGATTGCAATGCCCCGGGACATTTAGGAGGATTTCATTCAACAATGAAAAAGTGATTTGAGGGGGCTGACATGCCGAGCCTAGTTTATATAGTGCACACTTGCACGCACATATATATTGAAATATCATGTGATAGCCCATAAATATGCAATATTTTATGCATCATTTAAAAATAAATTTAAATGAAAATACCATATGGGGGTTTCACACTCTGCTTCATGATCTGCCCATACCCATGAGTGTTTTAATATAGTATGAATATCTTCCATGATGTAAGCAGGCAAAATGGTCACTCTAAGAAGATTTTGCTTTCTTTCCTTAAGGTCTTGTGCATGTTGGGCAAATCCTCTACCCCTGAGCCACAGGCACAATCTGATATTCCAGAACATACATCTTCAGAGGCGCTAGACATGGTCCTGTGCCTTTCTCTCAGAGATGTTTTATGGAACAAGTGAGGAGAACAAGGCCATGGAGAGTACAGATTCCCAAGGTTGGACTCCTTTCTCCAGCCAGCTGTCACGGTGTCTCAATATCCTTGCCCTAGATAGACTTTGTTTTTTTGTCAACTTGACATAAACCTAGACATATCTGGAAAGAGGAAAGGAGTCTCTATTGAAGTATTGTTTCCATGGGATTGCTCTGTGGGCAAGGCTGTGAAGAAGCATTTTCTTCATTAGTGACTGGTGTGAGCGAGCCCAGCCCATTGCGAGTGGGACCACCTCAGGGCGGGTGGTCCTAGCCTGTGGAAGAACACTGAGTATACCAGGGGGAGCAAGTAATTAGGACTCCTCCATGGCCTCTACTTCAGTTCCTGCCTCCAGGTTCCTGCCTGAGTTCTAGCCCTGAATTCTGCTCAAGAGGAGCTATAAACTTTAGGTTAAAAGAAACCCTCTCATCCCCTGGCTGCTTTTTTTTATCATTTTATACAGAAATATAATCATGACTAATGCAATATTCATGATTGATAGGGAGATAGATAGAGGAGGGTGGGTAGTAGGTACGGTAAGAGGGTAAGGAGTAAGTTCAGTGTTCTACAGCTAGCAGGGCTAGTGCCCCTAACAGCTAATTACAAAGATAAGAAATGAGTTTGAAGGCTTTCAGCATACAGAAACAACAGTTTTTGAGGAGAGAGATATGGTATTTAGCATGACATGGTCACAGCATATAGCTTATAAAAACCAAATTATAATATATTCCACAAATATTTACAAATATCAAATCAATGAAGTCTTTTGGGCCTTTATAAAGCGTAAATAAACCTGCTTGTAAAAATCCCCCAATTTCAGGCAGGCATGATGATCCCAGGAGTATTGCCACAGTCTGGGGCCAGCCTGGGATACACAGTGAGCTCCAGGCTAGCCTAAGCTACAGTGTGAGAACCTGTTTCAAAAACAGAGAAAGGAATGTAGTGTGTGTGTGTGTGTGTGTGTGTGTGTGTGTGTGTGTGTGTGTGTATTATGGATCTTGGGAATTGTGCTGCTTTTTTTTGAAGCCCATTTTATATGGTATGTGATGTGTAGAATTTCATTCCAGTGACATTCTTGAAATAACAAAATTATATGGACGGAGGACAGATCGGTGAGTGGCCGCCAGAGGTTAGAGACTTGGGTGAGAGGAATGAAAAGGAGGACGGGATGGCAGAGGCTATGAAAGAGCAACTGGCGGGAACGTTGTAGTGGTGGAGCCATGTGGTGTGATAAAAGCTACATAGAACTCTACACACAAATACACACGAGACTGGTGTCATGTGACAAGGCCATAGACTGTCGATAGCAATTTCCTGGTGTTTAGATTGCTCTAGAGTTGACCACTGAGAGAAAAGGAATGAAAGGAGTGTGGGGTCTTCCCAGATACATGTCGCGCTAGTGTGGGAATGGGCATTTCAAACCAGGAAGTGCTTTTAAGTTGATGTATTTTCTAGTCAGTTGTCACTTCTTCTTGTGGTGTTTTTGGTGGTTTGTTTTTTGTTCTTTTTTTTTAAGGGTGGACATTCTTTTACCTTTTTATACTTTTTAAACATCGTATTACATTTATTTATTCATAGTATTTATTTAGTGGGAGGTACACATGTCATTGAGCATGTGAGCAGGTCAGAGAACAACTTACGAGACTCACCACGTGGGTTCCAGAGATCAAATTCAGGCCTCCAGGCCTGGCAGCAAGTGCCTTTGACCTGCTGGGCTTTCTTAATGTGTCTTTCCTTTTTTGTTTTTTTCCAGATTAGTTTTTAAGTTCCCATACCAAATAATGTGCTTCATTACTAATTACTCATCTACTGCCTTCATAGATAAAGAATAGCCTCATCAGGCCATGACATTTGCAAGGCTCTGGTGGTTTGTTGCTTGTTTGTTTTGGAGGCAGGTTTCTCTGTGATGCCTTGGCTGTCTTGGAACTCACTCTGTAGACCAGGCTGGCCACGAACCCACAGAGATCTGCCTGGCTCTGTCTCCCAAGTGCTGGATTTAAATGTGTGTGCCACAACTGCCGGGCCAAGGCCCTGAGTTTTATCCCCACCACCATATATTAAGAATAGGCTATTCCTCTTTAAAATAAGGCTGACCTCAAAGGCTCCCAACACAACCACAATGTTCCAGTTAGTCTGTTGCGCCTACAGTGCATGCTCACCAGTAGTAAAGAGTATAGTTTGTGTCAGGACTTGTATTCCTTCCAGGAAGCCAGGAATACTTCATATAGGTCATGTTGTGCGAAATACTCTGGAGTTCAGTCACAGCAGACTCAGGATCACCTAGAATGTCCAGGCAAGAGTCCTTGTCATGGAAAGTAGTTATCGACCTAACCCCTAATCTCCACACCCATTGTGCCCAGAAGTCACTTAGGACAGTAAAAATGCAAATGTAATTCAGTCACAGCTTTCCTTCTCACCTCTTTATACAACAAAAGCATCTTTTGTGGGGCTTTTGTTTGTTTTTTTCCTTTGTCTTAATTATTCATTCATTTATTTATGTTTACATGCCAATTCCAGATCCCCCATCCTCTCCACTCACTTTCCCCCACCCCACTCCCATCTGCTCCTCAGAGAGGGTAAGACCTCCCCTGGGAAGTCAACTTAGTTTGTCCTGTCCCCTTGTGGAGGCAGGCCAAGCCTCCCCACCCCACGCCTAGGCTGAGCAAGGCATCTCTCCATAGAGAAAGGGTTCCACAAGGTCAGCTCATGCATTAAGAAAGCATCTTTTGTATCTCTAAAGGAGCCTTACTCTTCTTCTAACTAGAGAAAATGGTGAAAAGTCAAATAATATTTCAGCCATATTCAGTGAATACGGAATAACTGAATGGATGTAAAAATACAAACAGCCCCTATATTCTATCATTTTTATTAGTTGTTTTAATTAAAATATAATTGTCACTCCCCCCTTCTCTTTCTTATCCCCATCACCCTCATATCCCCTTTCCTTCCCCTCAAATTGATGGCCTTTTTAAAGCTGGCATATGTATGCAGAAATATATAAATTCAACCAGCTGAGTCTGTTTTTGTTGTTTGCTGAGTGTATGATTTCAGGGCTGACCAGTTGGTATTGTGTGTCTGTATATGGGTGTGTGCATGAGGGAACAGGTGCCTGCAGAGGTCAGAAGCATACAGCACCCTGGAGCTAGAGTGAGAGGTGGCTGTGAGCAATCTGACACGGATGCTTAAAACCTAAGTAGGGTCCTTTGGAAGAGGCAAGCCTTTTTATAAAGACAATTTACCTGCCTTTCTTCTCGTCAGTACTGACATCTAGGGAATTTCTAGGGGATCAGAAGCCTAACCTAAGCTTTAATAGTTGCTTGTTGTATGCTGTGGTTTTAGGTGCTCTCCTCCTATCCCCCTTCTCTGACATGGTTTCCTAGGATGACCTAGAACTTGTCATGGAGCACAAACTGACTCTGAACTTGTAATCTTCTTATCTCATTCCCTTGAGTACTTGGATTAGAGGTGTGGATCACTAAGATGGCCATCTTTATCTTTTGTTATTCTTTATTTTGTTACTCTTTGTTATTCTTGCTGGATTTTTTTCAAGAAACTGGCTCAATCTCCAGACTCCCAACAATTCTTCCTGTCTCAGCCTCACAAGGAATGTGACTACCGGCACTTGCCACCACACGTGGCCTGAAATCATCCTGATATACATCTTTCTTGATAAAGAGGTTTCATTTATCATGCCCTACATTATTTAATGCCTGTGTTTAAAATATCAGCCTTTAACCTTCATGCTTCTTGAAGGAATACTCTACTGAGCCATCATGAACCATTTTATGTCACAATATAACTGCTTTTCAAGTTAGTGAACTTCCAAAATTACAAATATGGTTGGCCAAGTTGGCTTTGTTTTGGTTTTTCAAGACAAGGTTTCTCTGTGTAGCCCTGGCTGTCCTGGGACTCACTCTGTAGACCAGGCTGGTCTTGAACTCACAGAGATCCACCTGCCTCTGCCTCCCGAGTGCTGGGATTAAAGGTGTGTGCCCATCATGGCCATGCTGGTTTAAATCATGATCTCAGTTACCTGGCAGTCCTAACTTTTATACCTTTAAGAGCAGTGCCTCATACGGTTTTTCTTTTGATCAGCGCAAATCAGAGAATGCCTTAAACAGCAAGTCATGCAGTGCTAAGGTTTAGAGGCTGGAGATGGGACCTGGATCTGCCTAACAAAGGGCCAGAATAATATGAAAAGACAAAATGTGCAAAAATATTTATTGTCATCCTCTCAATCATTGTAGGAGGTAAGTGCTCCCATTTTATAGATGAGGAGAATAGGTGGGGGCAGTAATCTAACCAAGGTCACACAATCAGTAACTGGCAGAACTGGGATTTTTAAATGGTGGTGGGTTGTGTCAGGGAGCATTTCTTGTAATTAATGTAAGCTCTTCCCTGGATATAATAGAAGACACAGAAGGATTGTGGGTAAAGCGCAAGTAGGGACATTGATCCTCACCACCCAAGAGCTTTTCCTTCGACTAGTCATGTCCTGAAACTAGGCCAGCATACTTATTCTCCTTTGGCATTCTCCCCCAGATATACTTCTGCAGAGCAGACTAATTTCCATATGGCATAACCACAACAGTGCTATAGGTTCCCTAAAGTACTGAGCCTGAGACCTAGAGCACGCCACTCCAGCCTCTTCTCCATCGTGCAACCCATCTGGAGAACAATGCACGCCTTACTTATTTCAGCTCAGTGTGTAAAGCACATTTTAGGGAGGAAGGGATGGGAGAGGGAGTGCGTGTCAATGTGTGTGTGTTCATTTTTCAAATTAAAGAAGAAAGCATTCTAACTATGTAAACATTACTATTATTCAAACTGTCTGAGCTACTTGAAGCAGCAACATCCCCAAACTTATCAGCATCCTCCGGGCCTGACCCTTACTTGACTCAGCAAATCTTTGAGAATGAAATGAAGCCACCAACCATGAATGTGAGCACACCAAGCAACTGGCTATGCTCTTCACTCACAAGGGAGAACATCTGGATCTGTTACCTTCAGGGGGCGAGATGCACTTTCTCCTCACCGCACTAGGCTTCTCGCTCTCATTGGTACTACATTGGGACGCCACTTGCAGACAGATCTTTTCATTTAGGGGTACTTCCTTTAGACGACGAGTTTCTGGAGCAATTATCTGAGATTAGGAAGGTTAAAAAAAAGTAACTTCTACAGCAAACAAACAAAAAAAGGACACTTAAATCACAAAGTCTTAGCAGACCCAAGTGTATAAGAAAAACAATACATTCCTAGATAGTGTGGGTAAGTGGTTTTGAAAGGGTTATTCTCCTCTTCTGCCATGTCTGTAGACCTGCAATGAGGTCTCAGTCCTAGTTTCGGTTGTCATAACTTAGAAGCGGAGAAGCAAGACACTACTGACATTTAATAGACAGAGGCCAGGAATGATACCTGACACCCTGTAATGAACAGGTTAGCCCACCTTTCTCCTACAATAAATAATACGCCTGCATTAGGCACTAGTACTACCACCTGCCACTGAAAATCTCTAGTATAGATAAAGAGATTCCCACATTTAAGGGTATAGCCATCATAAAATTTACTTAGACGTCTACCATGATAGCTAGCATCAACTCTCTACAAGCAAACTGACAGGAAGCAATTATCAAAATTCCATCAAGACCAGGCTTTAAATGGCCACATAAAACTCTAGTCATTGTGGTGATCTCTAGGGACCAAGGGCCAAAGAGACCCTTTTCATTAAACACCTTTCTGTAGTGTCTGAGCAAGTTTCGACTGTTTTGCTATATGCACTTACACGCTTCATCTGGAACACAGAAAAGGATAAATAAGCTTTGTGAAACCACAGATTCCCAGACATTGCAGAAATCTAAGAGTAAATCACAGAGCTGCTTATTATGACTTAGAGCAACGTTATTAAAGGGCTCTATAGGAAATTAACATTGCCAGACGTGAGAGGAATAATTCAGAATGAAGCGGATTTTAATCAGAGTTCCAAAGAGCACTTCCTGTTTTGCAATAGTTCCTGACTCAAGTTTCCCATAGTATTTCCTTTCATAATTTCCTGGTAGCCATGAAAAGAGGGGAAATGGTCACGTCGCTTAATCTACCACCTCAAGCAACTAGTGTGATATTTTGCATGCCTGCTGCTGGCTGGGCCTGAGGGAAACTCCAGTCACCTCTGAAACAAGGACATGAGGATGCTCTCAGGAAGTCGTCAACAAATCAGTGATGAATATACCAGAGGAAAGATGTATATGGACACCGAATAGTTCTTAACCACAATTAGGACAGAACTCCGAAAAAGTGGGGCCAGTAGGTCAGAAAAAAAAATAGATCTCTTCAAGTAAAATCCAGGCTCAGAGAAAGGAGGTGTTGACTTGATAGTGTGGACACGGAGAATTCAGAAAAATTATGGTTATCCTCAGCGGGGCCTCCGGCAATTCATAGCCAAGGACATTTTTTTCACAAGGAATTCTTGATTCCTTGCCAAGAAATCTACTTATCGTTTGGCTTCCCATATAAGCTGTCCCTACCGGGAAGAGAAATACAGTGCTGAGAGAAGTCTTCCTGGAATGCATCATCAGTTATGATTGTCCCCTTAGGAATGAATGCAGCCTGAGGAAGCAAGGTCTCTGACCGCGCCCATGGAGCTCAAGCCCAGCCCTCGAAAGTGAGATAAAGGTGGCAGGAGGACTTCCAATGTAACTCTCACCAACCTCACTCCCTTACTAAGTCCAAGCTGCTGATTGAGCCTGGCCGACTCAAGGATTCTTCCTAATTTTCGCCTGGGAGATGCGGTCACTCTCTGAGGACGCCAAGGGACAATGGATGGGCAAATATCATAAATGAGGGCACAGTCCTTATCTCAAAAGTGGGACACTGGGTTCAATCCCCAGTATCTCAAGTTTCGATGTTTTTTGTTTAAAATAATTTTTCTAGTTTAAAAAGAATTTCTTAGAAATTATAAATTAGGATCATGGGGGAGTGGGGGATCTCAGTTGCCTCATTATCTTTAGATACTGCTTCAGCTAGAAAGCTAAAGAGTTTTATCAGCGCACGCCTTTAATCCCAGCACTCGGAAGGCAGAGGCAGGTGGATCTCTGTGAGTTCGAGGCCAGCATGGTCTACAAGAGCTAGTTCCAGGACAGGAACCAAAACCACAGAGAAACCCTGTCTCCAAAAACAAAAAAAAAAAGAGTTTTATTATACTCACATTTTTAAGTTAAAAAATGCTTTCAAACAAAGATTTGAATCTTATCTTCTAGGCATATGAATAATAAAACAGATATTTAAAGGTAATGGTTTTGAAGTCTCTTTCTATGGTGGTGCATGCCTGGATTCCCAGCACTTTGGATACAGAGGCTGAGGAATCGGGAGCTCAAGGCTAGCCTCAGCTACATAAGGAGGCAGAAACCAGCCTGAGATACAGAAGACCCTGCCTCAAAAGAAAAGCTCCAATTCCAAGCTATGTAATATTAAATTGCTATGAATAAAATAGGGGCTTAATTAGTAATGATCACCAAGTGAAACATTCTTGCCTGTATCAGACAGGAAACGCATTTCTTCCCAGCAGAATTACTGCACTCTGGTAGCTGCTATGACAGTATGCTCCACCCCTCTGGGAATCCGGCCTTCTAGTAAACCGCATCCAAGCCCAAGGCTGCAGTCCTGGATTTGTCCATCTCCCTGACAATGAACACCCTCTTGGCTCCGTCACACCTTTCCTGGCTAAAGAGTTCTTTCCCAGCAGAAAAGGGAGCCAGCCTCAGCTTAGGCCTCTGTGCATGCCTGGACCCAAGAGCCTTTGATTTATTCTTCCAGCGGGACTTCCCTATCTCTCGGTGATGAAAGATAACCTAAAATGCATTGCCAGAGCTGCCTTCTACTTGTCAGATTGGAGACTTAAGGGACCTGGACAAAGAAGACTAAAAGCAACCTGCAGACTTGATATCATTTAGCAACTTGGAAACACTGGGCTTCTGTGTACAGTACCCGCTGTTCAATAGGTCGAGTGGCTACATACAACCCTATAGATGTACTGAGGTTGCACCCAAAGGACAGGAAGAGAAGCACTGCTCCTGCCACTCATCTGCAGCCTCCCAGTGGCAAACTCAAGTAGGTCTAGACACTAGTGCCTCTTCAAAATTCTGGACAAGGTCAAGCCCGAACACCTCTCTCAGCAGACACAATGCAAGATTATTGAATAGATGTGCCACCAAAAACCTAATCATCCCACCAGGCCATCCAAAATTTATTTAAGTCCACAGCTGATTACTTCTAACAGGCAAGGTGTAATTTTTCCCCTGTTATTTTCCTCAGGCACCAGCAAATGTAAACCCACTGACCACTAACATCGCATCCTTCCATTCCCCGTGGCATTGACTTTTAGACCCAAAGTTCATGCATCTCTACCGGTAGACATGAACGAGGAGATGCTAAATGTGAAAATGCTCTGCGATGGAGGCTCATATCAATACAAGAAGAGCTGGGTGGTGGTGGCGCACGCCTTTAATCCCAGCCTTCGGAAGACAGAGGCAGGCAGAAATCTGTGGGTTCGAGGCCAGCCTGGTCTACGGTGCGAGTTCCAGGACTGGTTCCACAGTTACTGGGAAACCTTGTCTCAAAAAAAAAATCAAAAAACAAGTAAGTAAGGAAATAAATAAATAAATAAATTCAAGAAGATAGAGCTACAGACAAGAACATAAGAGCAAACATCAGTAATGGAACTGATTACTTATTGGGTGCCAAATACATATGGCTATCCAGTATTTTCTATCAGGACAATCAATTATATTCAATCATCAAGAATTAGCAAATATTTTCAAATGTTCGATTTTGTTGATGGTTGTTTCTACAAGTCTCCCCAGGGGACATCTAGGAACAACGTAAAGTAACATTGTCATTTTGGAGATGAGAATTTGACTCATTCTTCGCTTTGATCACAGTGTTTGCCCACTGCGCCTCAGCAGTGGCACAGGCTCTAGAACACTTACCTTATCCTGTTTGTCATCGAAATGACTAAGGTACCTGAGAGTACAGTTTGGGTTGGCTCCCTCGGGAGGACTCCACGTCCATACTATTGTGCAGAGGTTTTCAACAGAGACACTCAAATTCGTCACAGGTGGCTGAACTTCTGTTCAAATCAAACATAAGACAAACATAGATCAACGCCAGATCAATTTTAATGGCTCATTTAATCCATTCTCCCACACCCTAGGGCCAAGACCAATAACAAGCTGAATTAACAACATCTAACATTTGCTGAGACAAACAAGGTTACACTTTACACATACTAATGAAAATGTGCACAGACAGTTTTGAAACAGGGACACTGTTGGCGTCATTTGAAAGATGCAGTGACTAGTTGGGTATGGTAGCTCACCTGTGCAACCCCGGCAATTGGGAGCCCAAGGCAAGATGATTGCTCTGAGTTTAAGGTCAGCCTGGGCTACATAGTAAGTTCCAGGCAAACATGAGCTACAGACTCAGACTGTAACAAAAAAAGAAAGAAAAAGGAAGGAAGGAAGGAAGGAAGGAAGCAAGGAAGGAAGGAAGGGAGGGAGAAAGGAAAAGAAAAAAAGGAAATCAGGCTGTCAAGGTAACCCAGTGGGTAAAGTCACCTGCACACAAGCCTGGTAACCTCAGGTTCAATCCCCAGGGTCTACACCCTTGAAAATGCCTTCTGACTTCCACAAACGTGCAGTGGCATGCGTGTGCAAGCAAACACATATACCTACATTTTTAAAATTCAAAAGACTAGTAACAGCAAAAGTGACTGCGGCACAAGGAAGCCAGTCACTTTACCTCATACTCCATGATCAGTGACATAGCTGGGATTGCGACCTTGATAATGTGGCTTTAAAGTCACACTCGTTTTTGAGATTGTTTCCACTCAGATTGACCCCAAATGTCCTAGTATAGCTGGCCTCCCACTGCTGATCTACCTCCAGCTCTCCATCGGTATAGAAATAGCAATACAGCAGTGTGGCCTGTATCTTTTCTTTCTTTCTAGGGATAGAAAATAGGGCCTTGAGCATAGGAAGTATCTCTGTCTCTGACCTACATTCCAAAGCCATATACTTAATTAAATATAGCTAATATAAATATAATATCCTTCCATAGTATCCACAGAAGGCCTGTTTCAGAAGCCTGTGTGAATAACAAAATTTGCAAAGGCTTCTTGCACGATTTGCATATAGTCCATCAACATCCTTCCATATACTCTAATGGTACATAGATCAACATTGTATTGCATTGTTTGGAAAAATAATGACAAGAAAAACAAACCTATAACATGTTCAGCACAGGTGTAATGTTTTTAGATTTTTCTATTCTTCTTTTTTTAATCTACATGCAACTTGCCAGCAAACACAGGGCCTATTAGTGAGAAACTATGGACCTTTTGTTGAGATAGAATCTCACTATGTACCCTTGGCTAGCCTGGAACTTGCTATGGCTACATGGACCAGGCTGGTCTTGAACTCACAAATATCTACCTGCTTCTGCTCCCAAAAGCAGGCATAACCATGTCTGGACTATGGACTCTTAAGTACTAGTATCCCCACACTCAGTCCAGCCAGTTTACCCAGCTGTTTTCTGAGTTTACAAACCTCCTTTTCAATTGCACTCTCTTCAGTTGAGCTCAGGAACATGTTCTAGTCCTTGAAGTTTGTTTGTTTGTTTTTATAGCTTTTCCAAAGAAGTACTGAGAGAAATTTAGCACCCCAATTCCTCCTGGGATCTGACACTAAGCAGCTGGAACTGGAGAGGGAAGGAAAAGTAGAGAAACAAAGTGTCTTGAACTTTCCTGAGAACTTCTAAGGCTAGGATTATCAAAGCCCCACACCGGAAGCAGGGCGGGCATGGAGAGGAATTCCCTGCCCTTCTTTACAAGACTTCTGCAAACATTGCAAAACAAAGTTTCCCAAAGCCACTTTAAAAGTCCAGCCAGACATGGTAGACTTACCTGCAATCCTGGCAGTGGGGAAGTGGAGGCAGAAGGGTGATGAGTTAATATTAGCCTGCACTGCATATGGAGACTTCCATGTCAAAAACAAGACCAAGGCCAACAACAACAACAAAAACAACAAGCTAAAGCAAAAATAGTCCTCTAGGAGCTAAGGGTACCACTCAGTGGTAGAGCATTTGCCTATCATTTGCCAAGTTTTAGGTTCTAATCCAGCACTGCAAATAATAATAACTGATGTTATTAAAATGACGGTTCAAGAAACCTAGAGTGTTTTATCTGACTATTAAAAAAAAAAAGACTCCATCAGTCCCAAACATCAACCCCATGGACATTATGTAGTTGAGGTTTTCCCAAGAGTCAATTTCATGCGCAGCCAGTAATTGGGCAGCAGTCTACAAAAGCCCTTAAATTTTAACACTCCCTCCCTCCCGACAACTACTGATAAGCTTTTCCCATGGCCCAGTCTGCGGAGAGTCCAGCCCTGAGCATGCCAAGGCCTTTAGAAGCAGGGACTTCCTGGCCCAATGTATTAAACTGAGCTAGTAGCTGGCTGTGGTGAATCATAGAGAGAATTCCAGGTCTCAGAAGACTGGAGCAGAAGGATCACTTTTGAGTTTGAGGTCAGTCTGAGCTGCATGCTAAATTCCATCAATTAGGATTTTTGACACTGCAATCTACTTCAGGACTATCTCTCTCATTCTGCAGTTTCCAGAAACAAAGTTTAGCAGAAATCGTGGATCCCTGGCTTAGCAGGTTCCTGACACTTTAGCTACCCAGTTACCTACCCCCCAAAATTTAAGCCTTATAATAAAACAACAAAACTATTACTTATTTTTACTTCTGTTGGATTCTAAAATTTAAGGTAATTTAAGATGTTTCAACCCCACCCCCCTTTGCCGTTTTTTCTATTTGTTTTTGAGATTGTGTCTCACTCCAGTTCAGGCGCCTTGAACTCACTCTGCAGCCTAGGATGACCTAAAACTCACACCAATTCTCCTACCTCGGCCTCTTATTTATACTTGAAATCAATCAAAACTCTTCCCTAGTTCTAATTTCCCAAATAAGATTCAATTTTCCCATCTGTTTGGAAATGCTATTTAGCCAGATGCAACTGGTTTGCACAGAAGCTACTTGGGGGTTATCAGGCATCTTTCCTTTTCTATTCTTTTTTGTTTTTTCCCTGGTGGCTGCTTCATAGCTGCTGAAATTTTTGTACTCCCTATAATTGAAAAACTATACGTGGCTGCTGGTGGGGGGTGTCGCAGTATAGGAAACATCCTACCTAGATAGAAACAGTATACAATCTGATAAACTGTAATCCCAGCACTCAGAAAGCTATGGTAAGAAAACTGCCATGATTTTGAGACCACACTGGGCTATGAAATCCAGGCAAGCCTGGGCTAAGAGCTAGATCCTGTCTACAGCATATGTGCCCCCCCCCACAGAAACCATCGTGTTGACAGCATGCTGAATGGCAGAGTCCAGGCATACGAAGCCACAGCCTAACTAGGATCATGCACAGCACCTCAGCACTTGAGGGGCTGAGGGATGGGAATTTTCACAAATCCGAGGCCAGCTTGGATTACAGAATAAATCCTTCTCAGAAAGAAAGAAGGGAAGAAAAGAGGGAGGGAGAGAGAGAAATGAAAAGGAGTGGAAAACATGAGCTAATAAGAAAGAATATTGACAAACATAATAACGGTATTTTCTAATTGAATTATAAAATTAAGAAATATAACAAATTTTGTCATTTTTCCCACGGTAACTGAAATTTAGTTCAATTACCATGTGACGGACCATTGCTTAGTGTTCAATATTATTTTTCTAGGGAAAGAATATCTAGGTCAAACCATTACATCTCCTGGTAAAGTTGCTCTTCATGCTGGCTAATCAGGTAAACCATCTGATTTTATTTTTAATGACTGATTTAAACTTAATAATAAAATCAAGACCCTAAAATTAAAGAAAAGGAAAAAAAGAAAAAGAATCTGTTTGATGTGACTATTTAGAAACCCTGGAGGTAACTGAAAGCTTCACACTTTCCAAATAAAGGAAATGACCAGGAAAAGTGCAGTGACTTACAATCATTACAATCAAGTTTAGTGGTAACTGTCCACACAACAATGGTTAGCGAAAGTCGACCCTGGGCAGGAAAACATGACTGTGTCCCAGGGATAGTTGGCATAAAGCTTGTCAGAGTAGGCAAAGAGGTCTCTGCCCTCCAAATATCTGAGACCTGTATTCTGATCACTGGTTGCTACTTCCGACGAAAGAGGCAAAGACAGAAAGGCCAGGACCAAGTTGTTGCATTGACCCTATCACTGCAAGTCCTTCCTCTTCTAGCAGTCGTGGCTTTCAGGAAATTCACATTACTGGCACCCTTCTTCTCTTCCTCATTTTCTTCCCTTATTTTTTTCTTTTTGCACATTAAAGAGTCAAGACTTTTAAAAATAACTGCATACGGGAGGAAGATTAAAGAGAAAGCTTCCAACAGACCTAAGAAAATTGCACATACGAAGCTGCAGTGGTTGGGACAACGTGCACAAGCCCCATGCAAGCTCAAACCAGCCCAAATCGAAGCATTCAGAGAGTACAGGTGGCCATGGATTCCCATCCCTGGCTGGGGCACTATTGGCGACGGATGCTAGTTTCTGGCACAGGGAAGTCTTTAAGAATGTTGCCCTAGTATGCTGATCACAGTTTAGTGGAAGGCCGCACATCCATGTATGTATGGGCAGCAGCAATTAGACTTGATGGGTGAAAAAAAAAAAGTACACAAAGCCGGTTAGGGAAGGGCGTGGATCTTGAAGGAGTTGAGGGGGAGAAGTGAATACAATCAAAACTCATAGCACGAAACTCTCAAAGAAACTAATAGAAAGGTGGGGGACAGAAAAACCCCTGAGCCAGGAAATAATCTGCTTCTGGAATTACTACATCACTTATTCAAATACTCTCTTTTTGATAAAAGCCAATCACAATTCGTAAATAGTAAAGTACGGGTATTCTTTTTTTTTTTTCTGACATGGCGATGCTGAGGACAGAACCTAGAGCCTTGTATATGCTAGGCAAGTGCTTCATTACTAAGCAACATCCCAGCAAGTACGAGCCAGTCAAAGGAAAAACCATCAGGATAAACTGATCCTGAGAAGGGAGAGCGTGCCAGACAAAGGCTACAAAACAAAATCTCTTAAAGATGCTGAACGAACCAAAGAGAGATAAACAAAACAGAAACAGCAGTAACCTAAAAAGAAACTAAAATCAAATTCTTGAGATGTACAATAAAATAACTGAACCAGTCATGGTGGTTCTTAGCTGAAATCCCAGTGTTAAGAAGACAGAGGCAGGAGAATGACTAGGAATTTGAGGTAGCCTGGGTTACAGAGTGCGTTCTGGGATATCAGAGCTACATGAGTGAGGTATCCAAAAACCAAAAATAAATAAAGAAATAAATAAAACCTAAGTAAACAACTGAAATGAGGTATTTAAAAACAGATTGGATCAAGCAAATGAAATAATTGGCAAACTCAAATATAATGCAATGGAAATTCCTGAGTCTAAATGACAGTAAGATCAGGCTAAAGAAACATGGATCTTAGCTAAGCACTTGCGTGTGTTTGACTTGCAGTGTCTATAAAGAACAGGACTTCAGAAAGGACCTAGGATACAGAAGAGTTCTGAAGGTGAAAGCGGATTATAGAACATATGTAATATAAAAGTAAGTTGGGCAGGGGAATAGTGGGGGTGGAAGGCTTAACTAGAGATAGGAGCAAAGAGGGAAGAATTAACAAACACTTGGGATGTATGAAAAAACACTCCTGAAACCCACTGTTTCATAGGCAAGATATACCTATATATATCTTTTTATATACCTATTTTATATATGTTTTTATATGACTTTTTTAAAGGAGGAGGGCTGGCAAGATGGCTCGGCAGGTGAAGGTACTTGTTGTCAAGTCTGACAACCTAAGTTCAAGCCCCAGAATCCACATGGTGGATGGAGAGAACTAATTTTTGCAAGTTGTCTTTTGACCTCCCTCACACGCTGCTTGCCCCCCCTCAATAAATAAATGTAAGAATAACATTTTTAAAAGGAGTCTGAGCAGAGGTACTCCACACAATGCTCCTCCCCAGAAGATGAGGGTTATTAAATTAAATTTCAGTCCCATTTATGGGACACCTTTCTGAGTTATAGGTCAAGGAAGCTTCAGAGGCCACCAACCACCCATTAACACAGACTATCACCATTGCTTTTCACTGCCCACTGCAGAAAGATGGTAAGACACAACATATATTGATCACAGCACATAGAGAAATCGAGATGGGAGTAATGGAGATACTTCCTCGGGGATGATAGCCACCTTTCAAAGAGAGCTGTTATGAAAGGTGTTACGTGGGCTGCTGGGGGAGAAAATTCATCAGCTAACTTACACAGCACTGGACTCTGCATGCTATAGTACCAACCTTTCAGACAAGGTGTTCCCACTGTTGCAAAAACAGCATGACCATTTTGGGGGTAACCAACTCTTCTCTGATAGGATTTGAGGTCTGTTTCACAGGAGGGAATTCATACCTAATGTTGTAAAACTTGTCAAAAGCCCATAGCTAGGAAATCATATGCCTTCAGAATAAGGTACCCCTGTTGTTTTGCTAGACAGATTGTAGAACGGCCTTCTAAATACTTAT